GGCGGGGCCTGAGCGCGGCGGGCTGAGATGGGCGTGGCCACTGCCATACATGGAGCTGTAACGGGATGGGCGTGGCCAGGCCACGGAAAGGCCATAATTGGAGAGAGGGCGGGGCTGTAGGAGTGGCCAAACGTGTGACGACATAAATGCAATAGGGGCGGAGCTTTGGGTGGGGTCAAATGTCAGCCTATGCCATAAATGGAGCAGGGGTGGGACTATAGGCGTGGTCAAACTTCAGCCAATGCCATAAATGGAGTGGAGGGCGGGGCTGTAGGTGTGGTCAGCCAATACCATAAATGGAGCAGAGGGCGGGGCTGTAGGCGTGTCCAAACGGCAGCCAATGCCATAAATGGAGTGGAGGGCGGGGCTGTAGGTGTGGTCAGCCAATACCATAAATGGCCCAGAGGGTGGGGCTGTAGGCGTGTCCAAACGGCAGCCAATGCCATAAATGGAGGTGCGGGCAGGACCGTGGGCGCGGCCAGGCAGCGGTTATGAATGGAGCAGCAGGAGGACACGACTCCATCAGCATTTTCAATCAGCTTTATTGGGAAGCCATCCCGTGCCCCAAACCACCAACAGCAGCTCACGGCACAGCTCCGCAGGGCAGGAACAGCTCCCTGGCCCCACACAAGTCCTGGTCCCAGCTGGGGCAGGGGGTGGCAGGGCCGGGCTGGCCCTGCTACCGGCCCGAGGCCGGCTCTGCCTCATAGCCCTCTGTCCTCATGTCGTTGAGGCCCAGCTCCTCGTTCTGCTCAAAGGTGCGCTCGTAGCGCTGCACGCTCAGCTCCGGGTCCTCCTCCGGGGCGTACACGTTCTGTGGGGACAGGGCACAGCTCCTGCACTCCCCTGTGCTGTAGGCACAGCCCCTGCACTCCCCTGTGCCCCAGGCCGGGAGCCCTGGGCACCCCCACAAAGCCAGCAGGGCTTCCAGCATCTGCTGGTGCCCAGAGCTCCAATGGGACCCCCACTGCCACCACGTGCCAGAACATGAACGGGAAATGAACCCCCCAAAGTGCCCACAGAGCCCGAGGGCCCAGGGCTGTACCTGAAGGTAGCTGTTGCCTGCAGGGTCATCCATGATGAAGTGAGCCTGGGCTTTCCCCTCTATGATCTGCAGGAACACAGCACATCCCATTAAGGCTCCTCCTAATCCTTCAGCACCTCCTGGACCCGTGCAGAGCACAGAAAAAACAGAGCAAACTCACGTCCTGCAGCTTCCCAATGAACTCCTGCAGCTTCCCTGTCCTGCTGGCCGTGGAGCTGTCCCCCAGGCTGAAGGGGTTCTTCTCCACCTGCAAGGGCAGGTGA